CTGTGGCAAATCTGTATGAAGCTGTGACATCGCTTTAGAGTATCTGGCATTGTGTGCTTGTTGAGTTCCAAGAATATTTATAGAAGAACAAGAATAGAAAAGGATAGACTTGCACTCATATTCCTCACATGCTATGCAGAAGCAGGTGATGAGTTTTGCAATCACATTGTTACTGTTGATGAGATGCAGGCTTATCTTCCCACACCAGAATCCTAGCAGTTGTCAATGCATTGGTGCCATACGAATTCATTAAATGCCAAGAAATTCAAAACTTTAATTTTAGAAAATAAAAATTTAAAAAAAAAAAAAGCTTCTGTTTTCTAGGAAAGACAAAAACCGATGAATACTGGGGTCTTTGAGACACCTTAAATAGGCAATTCATAACAAACAACAAACAAGGGACATATTGAAAAGTGGAGTTGGCTTGCTTCATGACAATGCTTGCCCTTAAACATCACTTCAAATAAAATCACTATTTAAAAATTTCAAGTGGAAAGTTTTAGACTATCTGTCATACAGCGTGGATCTTGCACCCAGTGACTTCCAGTTATTTTTTTGCCTGAAGAAACATCTTGCAGGGCAAAACTTGCAAAATGATGATGAGATCAAAACTCCAATTGAAATGCAGTTTTAACTACAGCTGATAAGCTTCTGTGGGCTGCCAAAGCTTGTATCCAGACTTAAACTAATGCGTGGGCAATGGCGGCAACTATGTCAAAAATGAGGCATGTACCAGTCAGTAGTTTGTAATAGACTTTTATCTATTAACCCTTTCGTGGGCCTTATTTCTCTTTTGAATTTCTCCCGTTTTTTTTATGTTTTATTATCAACTAAACAATAGCATTTAAGGAAATATATTTTATTTTGCCAAATTTTTTGTTTACATTTAAATTCTAGGGGTGGGAAGTATACTTCCCACGGGCCTTTTTATGGTCATGGAGAAAATTCAACTTAAAGGCGATTATTTGCCGTGAAAAGATGAGAAACATATTGCGATGCACAAGGGTACATCACATACTGCACACATATAGCAGGTCCTCTTTTCTTGGGCCTTTGTGCTACATTTCCTACATCGTCTATAGTTGGAAACCATCTTTGGCATATGATTTCCCACATTGGCTAAGCGTATATCATCCGGAACTGCACACCTTTTTGCTTGGAAGCTAGCAGGACGGCCTTTCCTTTTTTCGAGGAATATCCGTCTATTAGTTGACGAGCTAATGCTATACGGAATGTAAGGTGGTCTAAACTTCTGCTTCTCTTGTTTACTTGCCACAGTATAAAACTATTTACAATGCCAAGATCAATAAGAAAAACAAAAATACGATGCCACCATTCTACAGATCTTCTTCCTATTTGGTATCTTTCTTTTCTTTGATCGAAGCAATCAACCCCTCCCATGATATCGTTATATATGGCAACAGCTTTAGGGCAAGGTACTTCTGTTTTAGTACCATCCTTTTGTGTACGATTTACAGATGTAATAATCGCTGAATTGTGTGCAGTAGTCAACAACGTAACAGCCTTTTTGGCCATTCACTTTATTGTAGCAACACCTTCCTTAGTTAGGAACATTGATTCTCCTCTTTGTCTCTCTTATTAGCCTTCAGCATTGGTGGAAGATCCTTCCTTTGCGGCCTGACAGTTCCCACACAAAACAGACCACTTATAAGTAGACTTTTTGCAAGCCTAAAAGATGTCAAATAGTTATCATAGGCTATAAGATGTCCTGCCTGTTTCACATCTTCCGTTAGTTTAGTTTGTTTCCCCTAAGCTCAATATTTTACCCTTATTATCAGAAGTTTCTTTTCCACAATAAGTTTCAAATTTTTGAATATATCCACTCTTAGAGTCTGCTAAACACCACACCTTGTAACCTCTTTTTATAGGCTTCATTGGCATATACTGCTTCAATGAAGTTCTCCCTTTGAAAGCTATCATACATTCATCTATTCATAATGTTGACGAAGGTTTGTAGACTTTAGGTATGGAATCATTGAGCTGTGAGAGGATTGGTTTGACTTTATCGAGTTTATCATGCCCAAGTTGCCCACATGGATTTGTGCTGTTATCGTTTACATGTAAAATCTCAGTTACTTTTTTGAACCTCTTTGCAATTATTATTCTTGCTCTGAGAATAGGGTCTGTGCTCTAGTAGTTTTTCAGTTCAGGCAATTGATGTATACCCATGAGTATATGCATACCTACCCATGCTTTCAATTCTTCTGATGTGATTTCCTTTCCAGTTCAGGATAATGTCTTTTGTGGTTATGACCCAATCTCTTCCTTTTATTAGGCTGCTTTGCATATGAGCTTCGTCAATTTCTGTAATATTCTGTAAAATTATATATTCAATTCTGTAAAATTATATATTCAATATTATTCAATATTCTGTAAAATTTCCTCGGTAAAAATCATACCAAAATAATCCTTTTCTTTCTCAGTAGAATTGAATGTTATTTTCAAATGTATTTAAAAAAATATTCTAATTTTTTCAACATACTTATTGCACGTGGCTTTTATACACGATGCAATAGCATTTTCACTTTTCACCCATTATTTATTATTCAATATTAAATAATTCTTGCAGAAATATACAAAATAAGAGAACATTATTATAATAAAAACAGTGTTTTACTTACATTTGTAGCAGAATCGTATAGCAATGCAAATGTCAAATCAGAACATGTGTCTCAGTGGAACAGATCTCACACAACGCGTTCGAACTTTCAAAACAAATGTGGTAATTCTGTTTTCAATTGATTAAACACAGATGGCAGCACAATACTGAAGTGGGAATTAGAGTTCCCAACGTTACAATACCAAAGCCAATATATTATAGTGGGTTTTGCGCTTCCCACAGGTGTATTTCCCAGGATCATGTAGGTGGGAAGTAATCTTCCCACGGCCCATGAAAGTGTTAAAAGTTTTTGAATGAGGCACTATAGCTTTATTTTTTGAAAATGTGGTTCATTTAAATAAAATGAAAATTTAGTTTTACATTTTTTTTAACCGCCAAAACTACAAGGAATGTTTCTTTTCTCATGAAAATAATAGCAAATATTAAATTAAGCATTTATAACATAAATTTACATTGAGAATTAAAAAAAATGCTCTTACCTGTGGAAAAAGCGAGTGTTGCGTTCGCGCAACGTCAGCGGAAAAAGACTACGGATGTTTAGTGAGTAGGATTGTACTCGTGTGATGTTTCTTTTGAGTGGAGCGCAGGATTACTTTTTAGCTTTATAACGTTTTATAAATCTACAAATCACTTTACACTTGTAATTAATTTAATATTAAAATATACATTGTATTTCTTTTACAAATACAGATTATTCAATTGAAAGTTTCAAGCATGAAAAGCTTGATTACAATCATGATGTAAAGCTACATTACATACTTTGCATCTATAAACAGTCTGGCTATGGTACTCTTTACAACAAAGTATTTTGTTATCAACGGACGTTACGATAAAATGTCTACCATCTCCATGCAATGGTTTTTGAAGGCTGAATGTACTAGGTCTTCCTGTTGCTGATCTATTTCTGGCTAATTCTACACTCTCAATAGGAGTTTGCAAAAGGAATATTGCATTCTCGCATCTGAAATCTAAAAGAGACTTTATATTTCCAGTAGTAAAAAGCGGTGATATTTAGTAAGTTTAGATATGGTCTGACCTCATGTAATTTATCAGTATTGTCAAATGCAAATTCTGCTTCATATTCCTGTACTGCAAACGTGATATCAATTCTCGTACAACAGGAACAGAAATGTCCTTATCAAAAGACCAATACATTTTTTCTTGAGGTAAAGAATGATATCCTGTAAGCAAAAATTTTCCAATAAATCTTCTCATATAGGCTTCAGATGCAATAAATTCTGGGCCTTTTTTTTCTTCCCCCCCCAAGCATATATATTTGTCTGTTCAACGATAAGAGAGTAAATGTCTAAACCAAAAAAGAAAATCTAAAATCTGTGCACTAGTTTTACCTTCTGTTTGGACTTTTATAATTTCAGTCTTCTGCTTTTTAAACTTTTTAGTATGACTATAACTGCTTTCAGAAGGCTGAAACTTACTTCTTACGTGAATTTCAACTTCTCCAGCAGTATCATTTGGTAAAATATCATTATCATTATTTAAAACATTGCCATTCCTTTCTTCTTCGACATTAGCCTCTACAATTTCTGGGGGAACAACAACAATATCAGTTTCATTCTGGTCATTATTAACATTATCATCATCTGCTTCTTCATCAAAAAATCTTTGAAGGGCTTCTTCTAATGTCAGATACCTCATTCTAGGCATTTTTAAACAACCAGAACATCGAAAGGAATGAGTGAAAAAGGAGATTGACTACCTGTTTCCTGCTGACGTTGCGTCAATGCAACACCTATTTTCCCTTCTTTCCCAACACAAATATAAACATCTGACTGATGTAATGTTCTGATAAACGGTGACCTTAACTAAAAATAGATCACTCGTAAAGACGGCGATTCTTTTGTTAAATATTTTCAGCAAAAAGACCCGGTCCAAAATTTTGCTTAAAGTACGAGATTAATAATTACTATAAACAAAATGATTGTTGAAGGCAAATATTTTTTCATGGAAATAGTCTTCATAATATTCCCTACACAAAATCATCTGCTGGTATAAAATATCTTAGGTAGTTATATTTATATACGCATTTATTTTGACCGTTGCATCAACGCAACACCAGCAGCTAATGGGTTAATTTGTAAAGCAACAGTGTTGTCGTTACAAGAAGTAAAAAAAAGGCAATAGTCTGCATATTCTCTTTTTATCATATTTTGATGATGGGTAGATTATTGATATTCTAAGAATATGTATTTTATTGGATTAATTCAAACTGCATAAATGTTTCGTATAATACCATTATTAATCATAGATTGAATTTTTGCTTGATTTTAAATTATTAACCATCTTTAAAATGAATAATAATTATTTATGTGGTGTTTTTAATTTTTCCCCCCTATTGTAGGATGAAGAAGAGAAGCAACATTCACAACAAAACTTATGATTTATTCAGGAGTTTTTTTACTTGGAACATTCCTATTTTTTAATGTAGCTATACAAAATTTTCCTTTTTGGAGACATTTCTATTTATTGGAAAAAATAGACAGTTGTTCTGATATATATTAATATGAACTTGTAAATATTGCAGCGCTGAGAGATTTTTATATGTGCCTTTTGATGTTAGTTTTATATGTTTTAATTTCTAAAACTTTTTTAATTTTTAGACCATGACATTTTGCCATAATATTTAAAATAATATTCTAATAAATTTTATCACACATTTTATTAGAGTGGTATATACTATGCCAAAATAATAGTACAAATGCTGCAGTGCACAAACTGCTTTGTCACTTTGGTTTTTATGTGGGACCATTAAAAATTTTTTGTATGGTGTTCACATATTTGAAAAGGTTTCATATCTTGTAGTTCTACAGCTTTTGATCAAATTGCAATTCTGCCTGCAAGGTTACTTTATAAAATGTCTCTGAATCTTTTTACACAAATGGAACACTTATGTTCTATATTCAAACGTGACTTGAATTATTTCATTCTAAATGATGACTGAATAATGACATTTCATTTTATGTAATGAATTATATGTAATACATGTGTATTTCAATAAGGAATATGTATTATAAACTATCTGAAAGCAAATGTTATTAGTTTCACTGTGTAAAACGTTGCTGCTGCTGGACTGAAAAATAGCATCTTGACAAAACAGAAAGTTGTTGCCATTTCACTTTTATGAGATTTATGCTTTCTATTCTAGAAAATGGAGAAGCCTTTGTGCAGTAATTATCTGTTCTGAAAGATCAAATCTGAGAAACATGCTGCCAGCCTCATATGAAAAAAGAGAGAAAAGGGGAGAACCCTCCCCCCCACAAAAAAAACAATGTTGCAGCAAAGTTAGTAAAAGATATTTCTTCTATAAGTGTGCATTGCTGGCAGATGTTTCACTTAGCTTCCAAATTATGATGTATATACTTTTTCAGTGTAGCTTTAGCAAAATATATACTTAGTTATATTATGATAGCTTTAGATGGCAACAACTTTTTGTTTTGGATAAAAATTATTTATCCTGACACATTTTATTAAACAACTCTAAACAGTTTTTTCTTCCTTTGTTCTCTGAAAAATTATGTAGTTACATGCATATAATTATTGCATATTATAAATCAGAATTTTGAATAAATAAATGTCTTTCAGATTTAAAACAAAGATCAGACTACAAGTTTTTATGTAGATCATTTTCAGAAATTTTTTAATTAAACATGCATACGAGCTTTTAGAACTTGGTATGCATGTTAAGTATTATTTATAAATTGAAATATGGAATCGTGAGGACAAAATTTCCTTTAATTATCTTTTTAGGTTTTGGTAAATTGTGTACTGCATGTTTAGATTAGTTGGTGGAACATTATCACAAATCAAATGATGCATCGATATCTGGATACATTTATAATGATATTGCTCAAATATGAGATTCTAGCATTTAATGTTAGAGTTCGGTAGAGCTGAGAATTGTTTAGTGTATATTATTTGTTTCTTAAAGAAAATTAAAAAATTAAAATGATACAAATTTTCACTTTAAAAGAATTTGTAACATATAACATTGATCTTTCCTTCTTTATGTAATTGTTGCTAATTTTATTCAATATATTTCTGAGATTTTTATGTTAATTCTTGTGTTTGTTTATTTCAGTAACTATAGTGCCAAAACTGAATTTTTAAAATATAGGTGGCCAGTCTATTAAACAGGGGGAAGGAATTACTCCATGTTAATTTCTTTTGTATTGACATGCATTACATACTTTTTTGGTTTGTATAATGTAGTAAATGAAAACTCAGAAATGCATTATGCTTTGCTTTAACAAATATGAAATTGGTACAATAATTTTATTTTCTTATTTGGCATTTTATAATACATTATTTTTTATATCATACACATTCTAATATATTATAATCCTTACCGTTTTCCTTTGTTGGCACTTTTACAGTCTATTATTTTTTCAGAATGAAGACATAATTGTTACTTTACAAATAAAAATTTAAATGCATAATTAAAATTTTATACTTTATGTATAATTTCTTTTATTAATTTTGTCAGTATGTTAATTTAAGACAAATGTAGTAGATTTATTGCAATTATGTGTATATAAGATGAAAGTTAAAGTAAAATTAAAATATTATGAAATGGTATTTGCTGTATTTTAGGAGATTTTCAATTAACTGAATGTAACTTTTTTCCCCAACAAAAGAGGGGGGCTTGCTAATATTATTTCATGAAACATTACTTTTCCTTTTTTGTTATTTAATGACTCAAAGTTTGTAAAATTCTATTAAGATATTAGGTATTTTATAAAGTTTTTACAGCTACAGTATGCAGTTTAAATGTATATATATGACACTTTACTAAGCACAAATCAATCTGCCATAATGATTTCAGTAAACAGCTCAGAAAACTAATCTATGATATGTGAATATATTTTAAATGATTTTACAATGAATTATTTAATGCATTCATTATGAATAAACTATTAATAGACTTCTATTTTGTATTGCATTCTTTAACATCCATGTTGAATGTTTATTATTTGGAGATTATAGTTAACATGTTTCTTAAAAATTTACAGGATCCTCTATAAATAATTTCTTTAGGAAGCATTCTTTCAGTATGTCTTACGTATTTGGAAATTTATATCTCTAATTATTCATAACCAACAGACATGAAAAACCCAAAATTAGACATGACAAAATAACCTACTGTATTCAATTACAAATAATAATCATGGTAAATGTAAAATCGGCAGAACAATGAAATTAAACCAATTTACGTATCGGAGTTAAATGCAATACAAAAAGAATTGATTTTATCAAAAAGCATGAAATGTACGAAATTGTTCCCGCTCTGTTGTTAAGAGGATAACAGAAAATAATTATAGATGCAGCTTGTGATCAATTACTGATGATAGTATCCTACTGATGATAAACTTCTAATGTTGATATTATTATTTAGCAACAAAAAGAATTGGGGACAGAGGAGCATAGGCAGTTTTAAAGCGAAAAACCTCAGAAACTGTAGCCACTCAAAGAGTACAAAAGTTCTTTAATGTTTATTATCAGATCCCCCTCTCCCATTTTGAATATTTTTTTATTTAAATATGTAACTTTTATTTCCATTTGACAACAAGGTTGATGTAGAGATAAATTTTATTGCACAGAAAATGTGTTCTGTTCCGATTAAGACAGAAAAGGAGATTATATTTATGTATAAAATAAGATTCAATTCTGCACTGATTATCAAATACTGCTTTTTAGTTAGAATGTACGTAAAATCAATTTCCAGAAAGATCCAAGTTCCTTTCTCACTGACATGTAGTTCATGATTCTTAGATATCCTTTTATCACAGGTATGGGAGGGAGAGATAATTAGGTTATTTAAATTTATGTAATGAGTCAAATAATCTGAAGCATTTTGAGTTACTAATCCTATTTGCAAAGATAAAATCTCAGATTAGATTGTAGGGTTTACTTTATTTTTCTAATAGCTTTTATTTTGGAATAAGCCTCTCTTTTACCTTCTCATTTTCCACCTACATTTTTCCTGCCATTATGAGTATTCAGGATTTCTATTTGTTTAAATGAGGTAGAAACGAGTATTTAAGCTGAAATCTTGGTCACTTCAGTAGGACAGCATATTCTGGCCTTTTGGCCACGTTGTTGCTGCTAGTCTAAGCTTAATATTACGTGGCTGTACTTGCTACATGTCTGCTATTATATGTCAGTGATCTTAAATAAGGGCCAACTCTGTTAGTTAATTCTGTTTAGCTTCAGCTGTTTTATTTTAGTATTAGATTTGTTTAATATTTTCTATCTTGAGTTAAAGCCCAAATGGATGCTTATTGTAAGTGTTGTGATGAAATAACAAATGTTCAGTGGCTTGTCTCCAGCATCGCTATAATAATAGTTTCAAAATGAGATAATGGCAAGGTCAAAAATTCTTTCTTTTATTTTTGAAATCACATATTCGTATATATGTATGGAACATATTTCCATTCCCAAACAAGCTATTGTTCTCATATTTTTACTAATCACACTTAGTACATGCAAGGTAAGAAAAGGGGGCATGCCTAGATAGTGTGGTGGTTAGCGAAGCCTTCTGCAAAACTGAAGGGCTGGGGCTTTGATCCTGGAGAAGGCATGGATGTGTGTTAATATTTTTTGTGGCATGGGGACATTATAAATATGTGATGAGCTGAAAGTCCTTTTGAGAGGTTGGTGGTAGGGGAAGAGGGGTGGGAGACCCTTGGACCCATACTCCCTGGGATGCTCTCCTTCAAAATTGGGAGGAGGGAACTGAGCAAAGTTGTACCATCACCTGTATGGTACCCAAAGCTCTTCCCAATGGCAGGTACAATCTTGACGTTTTACCGCGATGAAATTCGTGGGTTTGCTCTGATATCAGAGACTTGATCTGATATTACTGTTGATCGGAATGGATAAGCCACAAACAAACAGTATTTATTAAAATATGTGCTAATAATAATTTTCATCGTAAATAATAAATAAGTAAAATTTTAAAACCAGTTACAATTGTAATTTTATTGCTAGAAAACATTTCAATACTTTTTGAATTCTGAGATTACATTATATAAAATTTATTGTATGAAAACGAAATTAATCATTATTAAAATGCTTTCATTTTTATTAAGTATGCATAATAAAATTTAAATCTCACGTTTATCAAATGGCAGTATGAACAAGTACATCTAACTGTGAAAGAACACTGTATATGCAGAATGAAACATGCTATTCAGATATGCAAGTTATCAATGAATGATAATTGTTTTAAGTGCTGAATTTGTGAATATAGCACTGTTTAAAGCATATAAAAATTATTAAAATTTATACAGTTATTTTAACACACTTTAGACAATTATTTTACGCAATCTATAATTAATCTAAGTCTAGTAATTGTCATTTCTATGCTTATTTGCAAACATTGTATCCTATTGATATTTAAAAATATTATATTTAAAACTTATATAATACTTAGATATAAATAGCAACAGAAGCAGAAAAGAGATCTTGCTGTGTTGTGATATTAATGAAAAATTATTAGTAGAAGTGATAAATAATATCATGTTTATTACAGAAATTAAATACTTCTTGCAACTTGTTATCCTTGCAATGGATATTACCCACGAACTGACTGTTCTATTATACTAATAGAGTTTGTTTGACACTGTCTGAATCTCATGAAAACTTTTGAAAAGCACAATATCTTGTTGTAGTAATGAAAGTTTTCCACCAAAAAGCATTCTTAATAAAGTTAGGGGGGAAAAAAACATTAAAACAGTGCCTTTAGTGTGGGTAGAAATCACCACCCAAATCTATGATTTTCTGCAAATGTTTTTGTGCAGAATAGAAGATAGCACCAGCAAGATGTAGTTGCAGGTGTGAAAAAAAGGTAGAATTCCGAAGAAGCGATGTTTTGGGGCTGTATGGTAGGTGTGGCAAAATATCCCATTCGAGTCTGCATGGAGTCCAGCCGGTGAATGCAGACACATGTGGCCTTTCATTATCTTGATGGAACATTACCTATTTTGCAGCAGAACTCTGTTCGACGTTTTTCTTTGATAGCAGCATCAACACGGATCGCTGTACACCTTACTGTCATGGGTTTTACCTTTCTTCAGATACTCTTTGTGTATAATACCAAGGCAATCCCACTAAATACAAAGCACGATCTTTTTGTTAGTCAAACTGCAGTTTGTGACGCTGCCAGACCAACCCCCTTTTTAGCCTGTGCTGTTGAAATAAGTCTACTTTTCATCACAAGTGACGATCTGGTCCAGAATTTTGTACTTGCGTTGATATTCGAGCAAATTAGTGCAGACCTGAACCAACACCCCCTAGAATGCAGAGGGTACTTCCTGAATACATCTGTCTTTATCTGCTTGAGTCAGCTCATGCGGCACCCAGTTATTGAACTTGTATGTCAAGTTTATATGATGCACAGCACAACTAATGGACGTTGCACTAACATGCAAGCTCTCAAGTGGTTACAAACTGATTTTCTTCTACAAGTTCTCACAAGTGAGCCTCACCAACATTAGTAGGCAAGCCTTTGCAGTACCTTTCAAGAGTACTCTGCTTCTTGAATGTCATAGTCCATGTTTTTGAACTTTCGGTGCCAAACCTTCACAGTATCATATGATACAACATTAGTACCTAAAGCTATACACATGTTTTGGTGACATTCTGTAGCTGACTTTTTGCAACAGAACTGGAAGTAAATGAGTGTTCAAATCTGGTTGTAGAAAAAGAGATAGAGGGCGCTGCGCCGCCCGTATGTGTAGCTAATTAAAAGTTTTCACCAGAGAGAGTTGAGAGTGTGAAGAGAGTGGCATAAACTAGATATCCTGTAAACTGTATGTAATGTTTGTACATATACATTCATTAAATAGATTTAGTTAAAGGAAAGTGTCTTTGTTTAGGCCAATAGAACCCAAGAACCACCGATAATGGAAGATTAAGTAAGTTATTACATACAAGAGTTGTTGGTGCATCGGCCGGGAAAGTGAGTCATTTCATTTCTATCTGCATGCAATTTATCTTTGAAAATAAGTTTTGAAGAAACCGTAGAGAGAAATAGAAAAATTAGAGGTTCGATTCGTACAAGTGTAACAAAATTAATAAGGAAATTGGAAGAGTAATTGCAAAACGAGAATCCGAAGCTAGAAGTGTTGCAGGAATCGCTTTCAGTGTTAATCGAGAGAGAAACTAGCTTGTTAAAATATGATGAAGTTATTAATCCTCAAAGCACTGTTCAGGAATTAGAGACAGAAGTAGAACATTGTTTAGAATACAGCGAATTAATCATTATATGTAAATCGAAAGTCAACAGATATATTCAAAATGTGGATAAAACCGGAACAAGTTTGGGAAATCTAAACTAATTATACTACTGAATTACCTCGTATTACCTTAGAAACTTTCAGCGGCGATTTATGTAAATTTACTGAATTTTGGGCTCAGTATAAAGCTACCATTCACGAAAACAATACGCTTCAAGATGTTGAGAAATTAAACTATTTAAGATCTTTACTCGCTGGTTCAGCTGCAAAAGCTTTAAATGGATTGCCATTAATAGGAGAAAACTATAAAAAGGCCATCGAAATCTTGTTTGACAGATTTGGGAAAAAAGAAATATTAGTTAGCGCGCATGTGAACGTTTGCCTAGCTTTGGAGCCATTGCGTCGTTCAAGTGACGTATGCAGTTTAAGAAAACTATATGATGAAATAAAGGTTCAAACAAGAAGTTTAGAGACATAAGATATTAATTTTAATTCTTATGGCAATCTATTACTTTCTATTTTATATAAGTGTATACTGCAAGATTTAGTGTTACAGACTAGAAGAGAAACACGCTAATGTGACAATCAAAATCGTAAAAACAACCTTGTATTTAGCGTAGGTATAATGAAACACTCAATCAATTTCGAGGGCAGCTAAAGGTCCCTCCTCATCAGGAGAAAGAAATACTTA